GGAGTTGAATTTATAGCTCAGGGAACAAAAACATTTTACAGAGTGAAAACAACACTAAAGTACAAAGCTGGCTCCAGTGAATTTATAATTACTGGAAACAGTCCTCGCGGTGTCTGCACTGAAAGCATCGATCACCAAAAGCACCGGGCCTAAACGAAACCCTGAAAAATAGCCATTTCTGTTCTTTACCTCGACTTTTACAAACATCCTCTGCACAGCCTCACATTGCTATGGTTCTCCTGAACACGGCTGAACACAGGACAGCTGTAACTGGTTGTGGGGCTGTTGACTGGTGTTTTATTAATGATGTGGTAGGCTCATTAATAGGAGGGTTTGAATGTGACTAAAAGCCTGGGGAAACATCCAACTTACAGCCCAGTTTGATTTCATTCATTCCCACTGTTAGCCCAACACCACATCCGACCCCAGCTGACCCCATCTCAGGATGACCGGGAGCGCAAAGCACAGAAGGTAATTATAAGGACGAGGGCGGAGCTGGCTGCACCGAGTCCACCTGTCGATTTGGGAAATCAGTCTAACAATTTCCCATTACAGCTGAATGGGAGCACCAACACTTCCTATATCACAGCATACACTAATGAGAGCAGCTCAGTGATCAACATTCCCAAAGAAATCTTTAAGGAGCACTTTAGTGAAAATTCAATATAAGAAAGAAAAATGAGTGAGATGTACTGGATTTAAAAACCCAAATCCACTCTCACGGTAGTCTCCCTGATGAAAGCGTTAGGGTACACAACACCCTAAATGAAAAGCATCAGTTCTGCTGTTACCTCTGCCAGCTGGGCCTTGTTGAGGCCGGGCCTGGTCTGGAGCTTGTAGTGTCGCTTGTAGCGTCTCAACGTGTTCACTTGCAGCTGGAAAAGGTCCACCTGAAATCACCAAGAGAAGCAGGGACTCAGTGAGTCGGTTCAAAGTGATGAGCTTTTTTTTTTTAAATCCTGCTTTCCATGGTTTATGCAAGGCTCCCAGTGGCTTCTGCCTCTTTTTCAGCTTTTAAAGGAGCTGAAACTTTAATGATGCACAGAGAGAAAGTGGGTCAATGCAGCATGAAAATACATGAAAACAAGTAAGAAGCTCCACCCACACAGTGACATGGAATCAGGTGAGGCAAAGAAAAGGTGTTTTTACCCAGAGAGAAATAAAGTTTGTTTAAAGGTTCACTTTAAAACTGCTGCACAAACATTATGTAAGCATTTAATTTTGCTTAACAGAAGTGATTCTTTTTTCAATTATAACTTTAAAAAGGTACTACATATTGTATGTGCTTCTGACAAAAAAAGTAACACATTGTAAACAATATAGTGACATACACAAAGCCACTTGAATCTTAATGAAAACAGTGATACTAATTTGTGGTCACATCATCCAGTCTTATGTGAGTGATTAACACATTCACCTTAGATGGCAATCTTTGGTTTGCTCAGGGGAGCTAGCATACTCCTGTCAATCCCTTCCACTCTCTAAATGATGCCTAAAAAACTGGGAGTTCATAAACAATATCAAAGGGCTCCCTGCTTGCAAAGCTCGGTGTCAATCATGTTATTAAATAAATGGAGCTGTTGAAGTCAAAAAGAGACAATCTGACTGAGGCAGCAAGACAGGGAAACGCCTCCACATGGCTGCAATGGAGCAGGAAGAATTGCTGCAAACACAGAGGGCATAAAGATGTTCATAAAGTATGCAAAGCAACATCTGGATAAACCAGAGTTCTTCTGGAGACGAGTGTTGATGTGGATAAATTATAACTGAGTTTTTTTTTGTTTGTTTTTTTAAATCAAGCTTAGAATGTTTGCAGAACTGATGTATATGTCGCAAAGTCAGTAAAGAAAGTGAAACTAAGACTAGTGCAGGGAAATCATCCAAAGCATTCCTCAAAGTTCGCCATGGACTGCTTAGAGAAACAAAACAAGCCAAGCTTTTAAACAGGAGGTACGTGGAAAACACTGAAAGCAAGGAAAGAAACTTGAATACTTGGACAACAGAGCTTCTGCATCATTATAATAATTAACGTTTCACTCCTGTTACCTCGGGCACCTCCACATCATGATCTGGGGATTCCCCTCCATCATCGCTGGTCTTCCTCTTCCTCTTGTTGCGAACACTCTGAATGAAATTCTTGTGAAAGTCACAGATGTAGAGATGTCGCACCTGTGGGAAAAGATGGGAGAAGTCCATTAATGCAAAGCTTTAGGTTCACCAGTCTCACCGGTCATTTCCAGATTGTTTAATAAAGTTTTTCAAAATTATTCTCAAGCTTCTGCTTTAATGTCAACCAAAACAACACTTCTGTTTTTGCCCTTCTACTTTAAGCCTCTTGTTTGCAGCCACGCAGAAATCATCCAAAATGTGTCACTCAAAACAGGAAGTGTCTCATTAAAGACCTCCACGCTGAAACTGTGACTCTACGCTGTGTTGTCTCAGCTGAAAGCCTCTAATGCAACAATCCCTGTATCTTTGTGTGATCATAAGCACGAAACTCCTCAAGGCCACACCTTCACTGTATGACGTGTCACTCGAGTCCCTGCATGTCATGAATAAACTAGGAGAGCTAACACACAAACACAAATGAATAGAAGCTCATTCCCTGAGCTGACGCGTGGGTGTAACAAATCACCAACATGCCCACGGCCACCACTTTGTAGGAAACACACAGGACACAAACGAGAGTGGACACAGCGAGGAGCAAAGCATGCAGAGTGGCTTAATGCAGCAACAACAGACACCTGTACACTCGTGGATGTGACACTGCTGTGCATAACGGGGCAAAACTGGGGCCCGTAGGTTCTTCTTAATCTTTTTCAGTGTTGTGGACAAACTACACAGCAGATCACACAAGGACGCTATGTAAACCTGCCATATGTTTGTGTTATTCAGCAGCTGCTGTAATGCCAACACCATTCATGAGCTGCTCATTCGCCAACTGTTTGAACCAAAGTGTTTCTCAAAGTGTGAGGGAATCTGACTAAAAGGAAGAATATACACAATCTCATTTCTGTAATGAAAATAAGAGTTTGCCATTGTTATTACTGGAATTTCGCTTTGATCCAGATTTGCTGTTTTTGTTAATAACTGATAAAACTTTCTCCAGCTTTTAAAGTAGGGCATACTCAAAAGCTTGACTGTGTTCTCTTCAAATGTGCCAATCTGCTGATTTTCTCCGTTTTGTCACTTTTTTTTTTTGCTTGAAAATGTCGCTCTGGGCTACAGAATGCTTTCGTTTTTGTTCCCAGACACAGTAAACAAAACCGGTATTTGTGGAACTACAAGGCAGCCTGTCAGCTCCAACAATATTGAGTTTCAGTGGTCTTATTCCCAGACATCTTTGTGCAAAAAATTGACAAAACTAGGGCTGGGAACAGTATGAGGTCCTCACTATAGCCTGAGGCACTTTTACTTTAACGATGTCGTTGATATATTATGGACCCTACAATTTTTATTGATTATCCTGGTGCTGTAACAACAATTTCCCAATAATTTCAATAAAGTAACTTCCTATAATATCTGCTCACTCCGAGTAAAGTGTGTCTGTTGCTAAATACTGTGAGATATTATAACTGCCAGGACTAATAAAGCAAAATATGAAAAGAGAACTTCTAAAAAAGTCCCTGCTTCACGTCTCAACAAGTGTCTCTCACTGTGGGCTCACACAGACCACGTGATAACTGCTGGCACAATCAGCTGTAATAAATGCGTATCAGACAGCGCGTGCCATTAAATAACTGCCATAAAAGAAGCCAAGTCGCTGCAAAGCTCTTCAGCAGACACACAGTAGCGATGCGGTGTGGCGTTTAACTTTAACAATTGTCGACAGCCGGCATTAAAACTCGACTGTTGCTATAACTGGACTGACATTTAGCAACTCGTTAAGCTTCCCTGGCAACAGCCATTTTATGAGCAGCGGCGGGGGCGTGTTGGAGAAAACTGTTGCGACGACAGAAAGCTCTGAGTTCGGGACACTGCTATCCCACACGACGCTCAAGTAACGAGCACAGCTAACGTTAGCATGACAGCTAAATCTCTCAGCAAGCAGGACCACCACAGTCTGCTAACTTTACCTCCAGCAGGACCGGGAAGCTCTGTGGTCACAATAACTGACGCTAACCGGCTAACTAGCATTAGCTGACAGCTGTTCAGATTCCACTAACTTTCAGCCACCCCCCGCACTCTGTTCAAGACTTTAAAATACACAATAACATGCTTTGTCTTACACTCTTGTCGATGTCCAGTTTGAGCTTCTTCTGTGATATGCTCTTCTGGATTCTCTTGCTGAAGGAGGCGTTTCCAGCAGACCGGCCGCAGCGTTCTCCGTCCTCGATCAGGCAGCAGCTCTGACCGTAAAACGGCGGAGCAGGCGGTCCGTCGTGGCTATCTTCCTCTGTGCTGAACCCATTCATTCTGTACTTGTAACGATGTGCCTGCTTTAACCTCAACGATTAAGAAAAGGAGCGCCAACAAAAAACAAACAGCGTCAGGTGGGACACTTAGTCTCCTGTTCACCCGTTGCCCTTTTATGAAAGACAATTCTGGCAACGTTAGCTAGCGAGCTACCTTGGCTAAGTGGCTACAGCGTAAATTTAACAGCCCCTGATGTTTTGATGCCGACTTGCAAGTTATATAAAAACACGATCGCTCCCATAGGTTGAAGACATATTCGTATATATCTCCGGCAGACTGGCGCCGTCAGTCTCCGCTTACACTGGCTAGCTCCTGTGCTAGCGGTGCAGCAAGGTGGATGAGCTGCCGCTGATGCAGGAATTCCTTCGGTGAGACCGCCGCAGTTCGTCCCTGTAACCAGCCGTCGCTTCTGCGCGTACGACAACAACCTATCTGCAACTCCGAACTATAAAAACACTGGCGGCTACAGCTTTCTAACCAACTTTGACTAAATTACACATTTAACGACGTGCACCTCTAACGATTACGGCACTCTTTCAGAAGAGATCCTACAATGGAACATGCTCCGTCTATGGGGCGGAAGTTCCCATACTGAGCGCCCATTGGCTCATTTCGTACAAAGGCGGGCTTAATGTACAAAAAGTGACATTTCCATTGGCTCTAACCAACTTCAATTTTGCAGCCCAGTTCTTCCTGTATCGTTCGGCGTCAGATGTTTTCTACTATGAATCGGAGTTAAAGGTGGCGTTGCTGCCAGTTAAAGGGGCTTTTGACGACACGGCACACTTTCGAAATCAGTTTTTCTTTAGTAATGTTAAAGTTTTATTGATTTTTGACGAGTCACCACTTCTATCACACGAAGTGAGTGTATGCAAAATTGAAGGGGGAACCCCACTTTCGTTAAGTCTGGCTTTGAATCGTTTGCGTACTTTGGATTCGTGATACGAAGGAGACATTGTTACTAATTTGCATATCGTCATAGTTAATCGTTTACCGCTTCAAACAAACCCTCGAAGGTCAATATTAAAAGACTGGTTTGTAGCGGCGTGCTCTCGGGAGCTTAAACAGCGTTTAAGCTACATGAGGACAGAATGAGGACAGAATTGTTCGCATCAACACGGTGCAGTTCCACATTTGACCGCTGGAGGGAGACAAAACCTCACAAATGAATAAAAACCTGAGGCGCAACAGACTCCTTCACATGCCGTCCCTTGATTTGGACTACATAGGCCAAAGGTTTTGAATGCTCATCATTCATCATTTTGGTAACATCTCAAGTAATATAACTGTTTGTAAATGTTTGTATGGAAAGAGGCTGGAGTAACTGGTGATGACACATGCAAATACTTGAAAGGCCCCAGCTGACAGGTGAATGAATTGCAGCCCACAATTCTGTTTTGCTGTGAGGCATCAGTGATGCCCACCATTCTTTATCTGTAACTGATATCCTTAAATGTTCACATGCAATTCATTGTGGTTTTCTTTTGCAAAAAGGAGTTGTGTCAAGCGTGGGCTAGTTTCAATTCAGCTTTATTTATATAGTACCAAATCACAGCAACAGTCACTTCAAGTTACTTTCTAAGGTATACTGACTTTTTGTTCAAGTACAGGTCATTCCCAGATCCTAACTTTATCCTAACTTTTAATCCAACTCTGTCATGACATCTGTTGTGCCATATTGCCATCATTTTTCAAATGCCACACCACATTTTGGACCGCTGTAAAGTCCATTGTTATCTTCAATTAAAAGCTGAAAATTACTGAAAAAAACTGTTGTTCAGAGTCTGCTCTTAACCTACTTATGTCACAAGATCATAACATGGTTATTACGCTTCATCCATATGTAACTGCTGATCAGTGCTGTTGGCTGTACCTAGGTCTAGGTTAAAGACAAGAAGAGAGGTTGTGTCTTCCAAGTTGTTGAATTCTCTTCAATTCAACATCTGTGGACGCTGCTGATACCTTAAAAAAGAAGGTTAGCACCCCGCTGTGCAGGATTGTCTTTAATAAGTTTTACCCATTTATATTGTTTCAGTTGTGGCACATTATGACTATTGCTTTAGATAAGAGCTATAAAAGCACATTTTACTTACAATTACACAATGAAATGTCAGCATAAGCGTGTAGTTATATTTTCTAATATTATTCTTGTAGAAACCACTTGGATGTGTTTGACAGTAGATTAAATTGTGCTTAAGGCAACTGCAGAGCAAGAAGAAATTCAGATTCTTTAGCAAAAAGAAGAAGCAAAATCCATTGTACTCATTCACTAAAAGGGAAAACCATTATTCAGCAGGAAAAAACTTTATTCAGCCTTATATTAGTATTTTATAATGTGTTATTGCATTATTGATTCTGCTTTAATAATATAGTCACCGGTGCAAATTAGATACTTGCTTCTAGGAATTTTTTAATATATATATATATATATATATATATATACACACATTTAATTCTCATAATATTATGAACTTGTACAGGTATCGTGTAATAAACCTTTATTTTTGCTGTCGACTAAAAGTAGTTGAGTAAAATAAAGTCCAATAATTGTAGTATATGTGCACCTTTGAAATAAAGTTGAGCGCAAAGAAGAAGAAAAATCAAACTCTATAGCCGCCACACAGCATCATGAAAAGTCTGTGCACGTTTTTGGGGCCATTTTATGCCCTTTGCTGGTCAATATGATATGAAAAGATAAATACACAATAAAGCATGCTTTAAGTCCGTCCATTGCTTCAACCTAACCTCAGCCCCGCATTCAAAACCAGTTTCACCAGGTCTGGTGTGGAAGAACTTTACTTACCTGCACAGAGCCTCTGATCACAACCTTATTCATCACCTTCAGGTTAAACTGGAACACCAACCATGAGCCAGACCTTGCTACCAACAAGAGCTGCAGACCTGACTAATGATGCTGTAGCTGAGCGTGGACAAATAACTGCAGCTGGTTCCCAAAATGATAACAGGCTGGGCTGGAAACAAATGTGAATCTGTTTGTACTCCGTTGCTTTGCTGATGATGTTCTTTGTTGTCATATGTCTAATGCGATATTTACTCTCATGTGCAAACATCCCGCATGAAGAGGTAGGAAATGACTGAGAGAAGGGGCGCCATATCTAAAATATGAAAAGGAGTAAAAACAACTGAATTTTCTCTTTTGTTAGAAAAGCGGCAGATGATAGAGCGCCAAAACATTAGCAGCTTTTTCACTTTGCAATTTAGAGGTTTATATCATCAGGGAACTGGCTCTCAGAGGCAATAACATGTAAAGTGGTCTCTCAGTGTATTCAACGTTGTCCCGACACCTCTCTATCCGAGCCGGTGTGACAAGTTGAGCGTTATATGACATCCCATGAGACGCGTAAAAGTGGGCACGCCGTGGAGCAGCGTTCAGTGAATAACTGCTGCCTAAAAGCCATCCCAGCTTCTGCGTTGACAGATGAAATGATTATGAAGTTAAGATTTTGTGTGTGTTTTAACATCATCAGTCACAGAGATGATTAAAGTCATTAAAGAAGAAAAAAAAGCACGGTAAGAGAGGCAAAACACAAAAGCTCAAGGCCGGGGAAGATACCCAGCGATTTATTTAGAGAGGAGATGATTATGGTTTGAATGAGTCGCTTCTCCTTGAGTTAAGCAAATACAGGGATTACAAAGAAAGAGAAAAATCTGTGCCAAATCCATTCAGGATTTGGAGTTGGAAGTAGGTAAAGTTTTGATATACAGACTGAAAGGTATTACCAAGGAGTTCAGTAAAGATCGGGTAAATTACAACACCTGTCTTTAAAAGCAAAAAAATAGTTTTTTTCAAGTTTTGTTTGAAGATGGAGGAAACTAGCACATCTACTCAGATTTTTCAATATCACTGTAGGTGCAAGGGCAAATTTCAAAACTCTTTTTAAACATTTATCAAAGAAGATTGGGTTTTATCGATTCCACAAGAAGGAAAATTAATGCTGCTGACATCCACAACCCATCTATAAATGTCAAATATGCTTACACCCCGACATCTATTTACTTTAATATCGTCTCAGCCTCATAAGAAAATGTGAAACAGGCACAAAAAGACATATTTACTTTGTTTGTGCACAGAAACACGAGCTTCTGCTTGTTTTTGCCTAGATTTAACAAGTAAATTTATTTTATTGAACCCCAACCCCAGCTACAGCTGCTTAGCAGATCTGCATGTTGTAACGCCACTAGAGGGCAGTGTCAAAAATATGTGGAAAGTCAGTTATGTGGGCTACTTTTGTTTGTGTTTGTGCTATTGCTGCTCCTTCGGGTTAGGAAAAGGCAAAAGTGATAACATACAAAGAATTTCTTTGTAATGAAGCGAAACAGTGGAAATCTCCCACTGCAGCCACTCGACGCTTCTCATCTGTGCTTCTTCAGGTGTTTTTCTTTTCAGCCAATCAGCATTCTACCAAGCCGAACAGATCTACATTGCTACACAGATTGCTCCAAAGGATACAAATGCATTACCAGTAGTATTGATGAATAAACCCAACCAGACAGCAAGTGTAAATACCATGACATTAGTACTGTCATTTCTTGTTTACTGTTACTACAGCTAATATTAGCAAAGGAAGTAGCATCAAGCTACATCCACAGGGAGAAATTTGCTCACTGAGCTTCACTTTGGGATCAACTTCAAGTCAGTAGTGGGTTTTTTTCTTGTTCTTTGCTCATAGTCGCTTGAAGTCTCCAAATGTGCTTGACTTTCGATGGTCTCAGGTCAGTGTTGCTGCAAATCGCTTCCTTTGAGGATGGAGCTTTACTCCCAGGACTAGTGTTTCTAGTAAATCAAGACCAATAAATTGTATTTATCAAGTTATTAAGTTCTGTATGGCATGCTAATGTCTATTGTAGACAGTGCTGTAAAATTATCACCATGAATCCAGGTTGTTTCTGATTTAACCTTGATGAAAGCAATGTCAAAAGATTATAAAACTATGGGAGGACAAGCTGTTTTACTCTGCCCTGTAATAACTCATCTTTAGTTCATATGTGGACACAGTAATGAAGAGAAATAAATGAAGAGAAAATGCATTTGCTGTCTCCTAATGTGGTCTTCAATGCTCTATTAATTTCAAAGTACTACATAAAACACTAAATTAAATTAATTATATACAAAACAAAACAAAAAATTGAGGGAGACACTGAAAACTCGTCAGATCTCATTGGCTCAATGTGAAAGAAATCATGCTGAACATCTATGCTGGTATGGACTGGGTAATGTGTTCAGTTTGTATGGCCGCCATATATGATGTTCCCAATGAATGATGGATGTTTTCCAGGGGGATTTCCCCCCAGATCTGGACCAGGAATCACTGAGCTCCTGGACAGCCCGAAGTAAAGCCTGCAGTGTTGGATGGGCCAAAACACAATGTCCCAGATATAACCCAGATATATGTGCTATTAGATTTAAGTCAAGGCAAGCATGGGGACCAGTCAGTGGTATAAATTCCTTTATCCAAAAAATCATAATGAATGACAGACAGCATAACATTCTTCATGGCTTCTCCAAACCCTTTCACGTCTGTGACACATGCTCAGGTTGAACCTGCTCTTA